GGAGGGGAAGGGGGTTTTGAAATAAATAGGGAGAGAGTGGGAGGCGGATAGAAGAGGGATCAGTGGGAGAGAGATCCCTTGAGGTTTGTCCGGAGGGAGGAGGGTAACTTCTTCAGGTTAGGCATCCTTAGAAGAGGCTTCGCAGTGGGGTTAAAATCGAATCAGAGATAGTAGGAACTGCAGATGCTGGAGAATCCGAGACAACAAGGTGCAGGGCTGGATGAACACAGCAGGCCAAGCAGCATCATAGGAGCAGAGAGGCTGACGTTTCGGGCCTAGACCCTTCATCAGAAAAGGGGGTGGCCTTGTTACCACATAGCCTGCCATTACACACTCCCTGTTGTTAGTCACTAACAGTTCCCATTAACAACTATTCACCCTCCCAGCCTGATCGTTAGCAACTCCTTTGTCTGTCCAACTGTCTTTCTCTCTCTTTGGACTCTATCCTATCGCTTACTCCCTACCCCACCCACCTCCCTATTTTCTGCATATAAACTGATGTTTTCCCAGCCACTATCAGTTCTGAGTTAGGGTCACCGGACCCGAAACGTTAACTCTATTTTCTCCTTCACAGATGCTGCCAGACCTGTGAGCTTTTCCAGCAACTTTGTTTTTGTTTCCACCTAGTTTATTCCCTTGGCAGTGTCTAATTTTCAAACAGGTTTGCAAGCCTTCTCACCAATACAGCTTTTTATTTAAATGCACAGTTTCATTTAGATGTTAACATAAAATGACATGATCAAGAGAAAATTCAAGAGAAAGCTGTTCATTCGATGACCCTATCCCCTGAAAACCCACTATCTTTTCTTGGCTCTTCTGCATTTTACTGTTTTCATTTTCCCATCTCCAAACAAACCAGCTTGCATGCAGTGTGCCTCCTCTTTATGTAATCTTGTTATGCTGAAATTAAAATTTATTGCCCATCATTCTGGCCCCTTTACTGGAGAAGGGACGTAGTTGTACTGGAAGCAGTCGAGAGAGGGTTCACTAGATTGATTCCAGACATAATGGGTTTGTTTTATGAAGAGAGATTGAGCAGTTTAGGCCTATAGTCTCTCGAGTTTAAATGAAATGAGAAGAGATCTAACTGGTATACGAGATACTAAAGGGAATTGATAAAATAAACAAAGAAAGGATGTTTCCTCAAGTGGGGCAATCTAGAACAAGAGGCCACAGTTTCGGGGTAAGTGGGAACAGATTTAAAACAGATGAAGAGAAATTATTTCTCTCAACGGACATGTATCGGTGAAAATCACTGTCCCAGAGTGTGTGGATGCTGGGACACTGAGTAAATTTAAGGAGGAGATAGACAGATTTTTAGTTAGTAATAGGTTGAAGGTTCATGGAGAGTGGGCAGGAAAGTGGAGTTGAGGCTGAGATTAAATCAGCCATGACCCTATTAAATAACAGAGCAGGCTCAAGGGGCTCAATTGCATACTCCTGTCTTAAGTTCTTACTGTCTAAGATGTAGCGCCCGAGAAACGTATTTTTATTCCTTCTTGTGATGTGGGTGTAGCTGCCAAAGCCTGTTGCCCTGTATTTGTTACTATCTCTAATTATCCTTGAGAAGGTGATGGTGAGTTGCCTTCTTGAATTCTACAGTCCCTGGGTGACACCTACATGCTGTTAGGAAGGGAGTTCATGGATTCTGACCTAGTGACAGTGAAGGAATGGTGATATATCTCGAATTCAGGATGATGAATGACCTGGCAGGGATTTCGCAGGTGCTGGCATTTACATTCATCTATTGCCCTTGTCCTTTTAGATGGTGGAGGGTGCTCTCAAGGAAGCCTTGATGAGTTAGTGCAGTGCATCCGGTCAATGGTGGGACTTGAGTCGGTGGCAAAGGGAATGAATGCCTAGGACTCAAGAATATGGTCTGCCACTGCCTCTGCCACGTAATTAAAGATGGGCAATAAATCCTGGACAGTCAGCAATGCCCAAATCTTGTGAAAGAATAATTTTTTTAAAAAACTGCTAAAACCTCTCTACTCCTGCTGTCCTATATGCTGGCCTTTCATCGTTCATCTACATTGCTCAATTATATAGAGTTGGTTGGAAATCACTATCAGCGTATGTGGATGGGAATCTTTCCAAATAACTTGAACCACTCAGAAGGGAAGGAGGGAGGGAGGTGGTTGAGAGACCAGGGAGGGACAGATAATGACCATGTTGTTACTTGAACATAGTCTTATCCAGCATACCTTTTCTTTTTCCTTCTGCGAGCAGCTGGATCATCCTCCTCATTGTATTCCCTTGGCATCCTGTGACAAAACACCACCAAACATTAAACTACAAACATAACGCTCCCATTATTCATCAGAGATTCGCTAAACATCAAAGAGAGAGTCAGAATAAGATCATGCATCACTTTACAATGAATTCATATTGGCCTGTTCTGGTGTGTATTCTCCATACGAGTGCCCTCTTATTTCTCTCCACCATAGCTCTTCAACATATTCTTCTGTCCTTTCCTCCCTCATGGGATTCCTCTTAAATGTATCTTATGTTATTCACCAAAAACAGTTGCTGTGGCAGCGAATTTCGTTCTAATCACGATTCACATAAAGAGGTTTCTCCCAAATTCATCAAATTATGAAATGGCTGCAATTCTATCTGCTTATACATGCAGCACACATGTTAGGAATCTGCCTGAGGTTGAGTCTTCCATGGCAGCTTTTTTCAGTGAAGTAAAGACCATAACTGAGGTTACAATTTAGTGAGAGTCCACTACACCTTGGGATCCTCACAAAGCATGCCCTGATTATTTAATGTTAGCTGCTGCTAGGATGGTATCAACATTTGGCTGCTTCTGGCTCGGTTTGCCTACCAAATTGGATTGGATTGACAAGTTGCGAATAATAACTCAAGCAAAAAAAAAATTGCTAAGACATTCCTCTCAAGATTTGGATCCCTTATCAGAAACTGCAGCAAGAGAGCCTCTTGCATAGCACAGCAGACAACCCAGATATTCTGCATGAAAACTAAAGATGAAAATATGAATGGTTTCTACACTTGAGGAGTCCAAGCATGAGGCTAATGCACTGTTTCTCCTTTCTCCTCTCAGCAACAGCATGTCATAGTGCGGGGAATCTTTAACTTGGAGATAAACATAGAAATTAGTAGGGGGAAAACATTCAGCTCCTTCAATCTACTCTGCCATTCAATAATATCACAACTGATTTGATTGTGGTTTCACCTCTACTTTCCTGCCTATTCCCATAACCCTTGGCTCTCTAGTCTCTAGCTCTCGATCAAAACTTTAACTAGGTCAGCTGTGAACATATTCAATAACTCCAATACTTCCTGGGGAAGTGAAATTTACAAACTAATGACCCTCAAAAGGAAAATGAAGGTTGTCTCATCCCGATTTTAAAAAGAAATGATGATTAAAGAAGTCAAAAAGGATTTAAAAAAAAAAATGATTGTGTTAATCACCTTTCATGGTTTTGTTTGAACTCAATCCTGAGGCTCACCAAGGCTGCTCTACTTCCCAGCCAGAATCTCGGCCTCATTTATCCCTCCAGTCTTCTGCCCACCAATCTATCCATCCCCACCTTGCACTGTCACACAATGAGGGTAAAAACTGAAAGTTGCACATCTTACTGGGAGTTACTTACAAATAGGTTTTAATTCCAAAATCAAATGCAAACACAAGCTTCTTCAAATCTTTGACTCTGCCATTGCACTTACTCATGTTGACGCGTTTTTGAAGGTGGAGCTGAGGATGGAGTTGATCTTGGAGTCATCAACAACTTTCGGAAGTCCTCATTGGTCAGCTTGGATCTAGTGAAAGCAACATAATCATTTTAACAACAGTGTGACAATATCCCTTAGTTTGGTTTACATCAGCAACCACACCACTGTACCATACCCTAACTAGAACACGCTATATACAAACACATGTACATATGCCAAACTATCAAAATTCAAGAACTGAAAACAGGTTAACAATCTTGATATGTAAATCTTCCATCAAGTGCATTACACCCTATTATCTGGGTTAATCATGGAAACTTGGAATACTAGTTATCAACTAATATAACCACTGCACCACAGCTAATGTTCCTTTAATTGAGGCTCAGTTTAGTTCATTTCAAATCATTGCTCTCATATTCAGATGACAAATGAGCAGAATGAGTAGAGTAGACTCATCACACTGGAGTTGCAAAGGCAAAATCCGGTCCAGGGGACACAAAGTTAATCAAATGAAGAGGCACTCGGCAGAGTGTACACCTCTGCCACGCTGAGTTAACTCAACATTATTACAATTGTGCAGCTCTTCCTTGAGGCTTTCTCCCCACCTGGTTGATGGTCTAGAAGTAGAAAGCTGAAAAAAATTTTAAGAAGAACTTCAATCCCACTGTGGAGGCATCAGACCAAAGCACATCCAACAAAGTGCTATGAAAACTCATCTCACATTCTGACAAATCCTACCACAGTAATTTAGACAATCACAGGATTCTAAATAAAACAACCCACAATTTCCTTTTAAAAAAAAATGTCAAACTGCCATATAGCCAATGTTAATGTATTCTTTTAAGATAATCTAGGGTTCAGCATCTTCAATGAACACAAATCATTTCTTCCACGGTCCATGCCCTATCAATGAACCAATGTTATTGAAATCTGCCCTTTCGTTCTGATACATATTGTTGGAAGACAGACTAATAGGGCAAGAACATTACCTCTGTCTGCCTTCAGTGATGGTGATAATAACTGACTAAGAATTAGAGGGGAGAAGAGTTTATTTTTAATAACATTCCTATCTATAGGTGATAGGTCACCATGGTTGAAAACAGTCACCATGATACATGATACAGATACATGCAATTGCTGCCATGCAAGTATCTGCAGTGATCAAAGACTTGAAAATTTAATTCATTTCAGACAGATATTAAGTTGTAGAAATTGGATCAGGAAGCCTCAAATTCTCAACGATGATTTTGTTTGATAAGGGGGGTGGGCTTGCGTTATTTCTTTTATAAGACTCTATTACTAATCAACTGGTTCAGAGATGTTATTACACACTTCTGGAGCAGGTGGGACTTGAACCCCAGGCGTCTCTCTGGTCCAGGGGCAGGGACACTACCTCTGCTCCACAAGGGCCGAGGCATCACAAAGATGATTATATCAAATGGGTAAATGATTTCAAATGACATTTGTTGTGCTAGTTCAGAACTCAAAAAGAAAAACTACAACTTTTCCCTTTCCATTCCTTCTTGCACAACACACAGCGACATACATCAGCGATTCTTCCACTATCAGAGCATGCTCACAGCACTCATTGCTCCAACTAACAGAAACACAGCCCTTTTCAAGTGCAGTGAAATTGCGATGATTTGGAATGCACTGCCTTTTAAACGGATTCAACAATAATTTTCAAAGGTAAGAGCATAAGTAGTTGAAAGGGATACACTGAAAGGGTGGAGGATAATTTGGATAGCTCTTTCAAAGAAGCGATCCAGATACATAACTGAAATTACTGAGACCTCCCTTCCCTAGTTGTAGGTGATACTCACTGATTCAGCGACCGAGTACTTTCCATCTCATGTGAATCTGGCGCCAGAGGATTTGAAAACGGCTCATCTGTGGAAAAAAAAATCAGATCAAGATTTTTAAAAATAATCCTAACTGATGCTGCTTAAAGAGAAACAAAATCTAAACTCCTGCTGAAAAATAAGTGACAGCTTCCCAAAAAGCTAGATTGATTGCAGACAGCCCATCTTGAACTTGTACACAAGCCAAGACTGTTAAAAACACCCTTTCCTACATGAGGTGGCCTGTCATGTCTGTACTAACAAAAAAAAGAGCTATCCAATTTTATCCTACCTTCCAACTCCTTTGTCTGTAGTCTTGTAGGTTACCTCACCCCAAGTACTTGCCCTAGTGTTTTTGTCAATGCCAAATATTCAGGCAGCAGGTTCCAGGCTGTCATCACCCTCTCAACTGCCTGGTAACCCATGGCACTCTGATCCTTCTTGTGTCAGCTAATGTGGATCTGAGTTACGTAAGATTTGTAGAAAGGAAGGTCCTCAACAAGAAAAAACAGTTTTATTTGAAAAAGCAGCAAGTTGTCGTGATCTGAAATGCACGGGCTGAAAAAGAGATGGAACAGTAACTCTAAGGGAAATGACAATAAGCAATTGCAAAGGTAAAATTTGCTATGCTATAGGGTAAGAGTGGACAGGTGGACTGACTGAATATCATACATTAAAATCACCAATTCTATTATTTGGCAGGTATGATATTTCTGATTGTGGGATCCTGTTGTGCGAAATTTGACTGCTGTTTCAAACATTATAACAGTGATGCCCTTACCAACACATCATATTTTGGAATAACTTATCTACACATTCAGGCAGATGGGACCAGACACTTTAATGTCTTATCTGACAGATGGCCCCTCCGACAGTGCGGCGCTCCCTCAGCCCCGGCGCTCCCTCAGCCCCGGCGCTCCCTCCGACAGTGCGGCGCTCCCTCAGCCCCGACCCTCCGACAGTGC